ATAATTTGAATAATTTGAATAATTTGAATAATTTGAATAATTTGAATAATTTGAATAATTTGAATAATTTGAATAATTTGAATAATTTGAATAATCTCATTGCCAATTATGATAGCAGAGAGGAGACTGGTTGAATTACTGATAATAAACCCTTAAAAAATAATGTTCAGACTTGATTTGACCACTGATTTAATTCCTTAGCGGGAAAATTATCCCCCACCGCCGAACTGACCGAGAATGAACAAGAAAAATTTGCCGAGTTAAAAGAGCAAATTGAGATGATATTAACTCAGGAAAATGGAGTTATTAAATTTTATCATCATGGAGAAACTTACGGCCGAGAAAATGATAAAGATTATTACGAATTTACTAATTTTGCCAGCTATCCCTTTTATTTTACTTCCCAAGCTTCTGACCAAGTAAATTTAACCGGAGACTGAAAAACCAGCGAACACCTTTTCCAAGCCGCCAAGTTTTCCGACAATCCAGCACTAGTAGAAAGATTTCGTGGTTTAGCCACGCCCCGTGAGGCTTTGATTTCAGCAGATAATTTATCCCACGGAACCGGTGGTTGCACTAAAACCCCAACAATTAAGGGTTGACATGGCACTGGTAGCGGCAGTTGGGAAAATGACGGAAGTAATGCCAAAAAAATAGCGGTCATGAAACTGGCTACTGAGCAGAAATTTCGAGCTCATGATGAACTAAAAGCCATTTTATTAGCCACTAATTACCAAATATTAATTGAAAATACGGCTAGCGATGCCCGAGCTAAAAAAGATAGCTGTTGAGGTGATGCTCCTTTGTTTAATAGAGATGGCGAAAAAATCCGCGAACACGGAAAAAATTGATTAGGACGCATATTAATGGCTCAGCGAGCTATTTTCCGCTTAGAAGCCGAATTAGGCGACGCCCTTAGTGAAGAACAAAAACAAGACTTAACCAACCAAATATTTACGGCGACCGAAAATTACTGGAAGGAAGAAACTAATCCGGGTAGCATTAGTAGTGAAATTAAAAGTTTAGAAACCACCGCCTTAACAGCATTACAAGAAGAAAGTAAAATAATAAATATAACAATGAGAGCAGTAGTAGCAAAAAAAAAATATGATAGTTTAATTAAATCTTTCAAAAATAAAAGTGAAGAAAAAAATAAAATAGCTCAGGAGTATCATAGTCTGGTTCGCGAAGCACTAAAAAATTTTTCTAATAATAGTTGGGGCAATGCTAAATGAAAGGAGACGGGAGAAAATATACTCAACTTAATAGTAGAAAATGAAGAACCGAGTAGGGAAGGAGAAAAAACAAAAGCCTATAAATTAAGCGGAGACCTAGCCGGAATTGCTAAGGAGTTTGCTGCTCTTGATTTTAACCAGCAAGAAGAACAAAAACTAAACGCAATTTTCGTGGCTCGGAAAAAGGCTCAGGAAGGCATTCCTGAGGAAGAAACTAATGAGGAAAGTGGGTCGTCAGCCCTCAGTGAGGTAGATACGGGTGAGGAAAGTGAACTTGATAAATCCGGAATTCCTGCCTCCTCTGACCTCCTAGTTAAGTTTAGCAAATTAGAAAAACAAGAATTTAAACCACGACGAAAAATAGTCGATAACCAAGGAACCGAACGAGGCTTGGATAATCAATTATACCTTTTCTTTAAGTTAGAAAGTCCGGTTAACTACCGAGGAAATGAATACGAAACCTGCCAATTAATTGTCGATTTACCTTCATCAGAACCAACAATAAGTAGGAATGCTTTGCTAAATTTTGATGAAATGTTATTTGCTCTTAAATTTAACTTAACGGTCAAAATAGATGAGTTTTCGGTGGCAGAAGCGGAAACCAACTCTGACCAAAAAATACTAGCTATTACGGCTCAGAATCCGGGGGCTATTCAAGAAACGATTGTGGCTAACTCGAATCAACTTTACTTCAATCTTGATGGTTCATCAACTATCGAGGAATTAGAAAACCGCGAGGTAAACAGCGAAGATGCCGACCAACAATTAGTCATTTTTACTTGCCAGAACAAACCAAAAATGGAGTGAGAGGGAACCGAAAGAAAAATTTGTAAAGTAAGTTTCGCCATTGAAAAAAGAAAATGAGACACTTTAAAAAATAATGTTCAGGGAGAAAAATTAAGCCAAATTGCTATTGGTGGTATTGATTGAAATAATATCGAAATTAGTGGGACAAAAAAAAAATCTTGCTTAAACTTGGGAAAAATTTCGGAGCTGAAATTGATAACTTCATCTGACCAACAAAGAAAACTAATTAATGATGATTATTTCTTAAAGAATGCTAACTTCTTTTTTACCTACCAAGGAGAAAAATCATTCTCAGAACAAAATATAAAAAGTGGTGCAAAATTATTTAGCAATTTGACCGTAAAATCTTCTGAACCGCTCCGAATTGCGAATAGTGTTTTTGCTGATTGTTTTTATTTTACTATTACTACGTCTGCTTCCAGCGAGGAGGAATTGAAAAATATTAATTTCCTAACCGCCAATGAGGTAGGCAAAGAGTATTTATTTAGTATTAATTTAGCAGATATCAGAATTGGTGTCTATAAATCTATTGAAGAAGTTAATAATTCTTATTTTCTGCTCCAAAGTGAAGACGACAGCGAGTTAATTATTCCTTTCCTAGTCAGTGAGGTGAGTGAGGAGCAAAAGAAATGAGAAAATATTTTGAAATTGAAAAAAGACGGTCTTGCTTCCAATGAATTCTTAAAAACAGCGGCGGAAGAATTTCAAATTGCCATTCCGTCCAGAGGAGTCCGAGCTAAAACCCCGCACGAGCTGGTGGCTCAAAGATGTAAACTTGAGATAGAGGATTTTATTGAAGAAGTTAGTTTGGAGGGAAAACAACTGATAGATGAGGAAAATAAAGAGTTTTTGAAAGATTTTGACAGTTATCAATCACACCAAAGAAGAGATGGCAGTGAGAAAGTATCAACCGAAGTCAAGAAAGAAGAAATTTTGGAGTGGAAAGAAGCCGGATTTACTCCCCAACAAACGAAAATCCTGTTGGAAAATGGCTGAGGACGGAACGAAGTGGTAATAGACAAAGCAAAGGTAAAAGAAATAATTGATAGATTAGAAGAATTAGCAAAAAAACCGGCGGGAGAGAGTGAGATTGAATTAATAGAACCAAGTCCGGAGAATATCGAAAGAATAGAGTTGCAAAAGAAATTAAATAATTTAGTTGAATTTGCTCCGGGTAGTGGTCGGTCTGGCAACCCCCTTGATGTCGTGAAGGAAAAAAACCTTAACCCCTATTTAACCGACGACCAGCAACTAAAATTTGCGGAACTGCGAACCAAAGTAGATACTCAACTCAAAAAAATAGAAAATGCTGAGGAGTTTAATGACGACACCGCGACTTTATTTTGTCAGTCCAGCGAAATTGGTGAGGAATTGGAAAAATTTTTTGAGTATGGTGATAGAGAGGAATTACTAAAAGATTATAAGGGAGATGTGGATATTGCTAGTGCGGTGATTGATAAAGAATGTGAAAGAATAGCTTTTTTGATTGAAAAAATGAACACCAAAAATGATTTACTGGCCGCGGCTAAAAATTATTATCTGAAAAAACTCGCGGAAACCAAAGCCGAATTGACGGAGGAAACTAAAAAAGAATGGGAAGAAGTTATTAGTGAAAGTAAAAGAATGGGAAGTATTGTGCATTATTGGGATTACAATATTCTTCCGGAAATAGCCGAAAAAAAGATAACTTTCCAAGCGACTGACATTAAATTTCTTGGTGAGGAGAATAAGGAGAGAAATCGCCAAATTGAATTTACGCTTCAACCGGGAACTGGCTGAGTCGAGGCATGGCCGAGTTCAATGGCGAGCGTGGAAAAAATAACCATAATTTATAATTTTCCAAAAGCGACCGAAAAATATGCGGCCGATATCGCCCAATTGGAGAGGGTCAAAGACGAAAAAGAAACCCGTGAAAAGACTATTATTAGTTTGGATATAATTAAGAGTTGGGAAAAGTGAATGATGGACAAAGTCAAAGAAATCAATCTCGATTATGATAAGGTCACAATTACTCTGAGTGAAGAAGTTAACCAAGTCTTCATTACTACCTTCAAAGCTAACGCTCCCACTGCCAACGCTTGGGATGGTGAAGGCGATGCAGCAG